ATGTATATGCTCCACAGTCACTTGTGCATTTCCTATAGTTTTCGAAATATAAATAAAAAGATGCCTGTCTTCATGTATATGCTTTATATCTTATACTTATCTTTAGGATGTTTGTACGATATATTTTACACGTTATCGTTAGAGATATCTTTTGGATATTGTATACAGGGATATTTTCGAAATTTATTCATTATAATATACCGATGATATTATCAGAAGATTGAGATATATTTCGCATATCCGCGATGATTTTAGTATATCCCATAGACATCAATTGCTATGTAGGCGGTAACGGGTTATAGTGAAATTTTGGTAGAATTCTTCTTGTGGAAAAGATTTCATAAATTGGTGTCATATGAAAGACTTATCGTCGAAAAACTGTTCATTAGAACGCTATAAATTTATTCTGACCGTATTGAATGTTTTCAGTTGTCATTTCCATGAAAATGCGACTAATTATTTAACATTAAATTGCAATAAACAAGCATAAAATATTATTTTTGAAAAAAGATTATGATATCACAAAATTCTTTTAACGATCTACTTATGGCACGCGAAGAGGTACAAGTATCGACAGAATATCTCTAACTTTTCTTTTATTATATTAAATATTTAAACTAGTTTATTTTTGTAGTTGTACTAAACAATATTATAAAAAAATTAAAATTACTGCTTTGGTTACATATGAGGACAATAAGAAACTTAGTATCAGTTGAAGAAGTAGCGCAGCAGTTAAGATGATATACTAGAAACCTGAAGGTATCTGCAAAGTTCTCGAGTTCGCGTCCGATTAGTACTGAGTAAATTTTCTAGTGTAAAAATAGTGAGAATTTTAAAAGACTTAAATATCATTTAAAATCAACATAAACTGACATGTGAGTTGAAGATATATCATTAAAATTATTTTTCATATAAGGTTTCAATATTTCCAGAATTACCCAGCAATATTTCAGAATGTCTCTTCAATGTCTCCAGAATATCTCAACAAGTTGGTAACATAAGACATTGCAGAGATATTTCTAGAATATCTCTAAGATCATCTCCAGAATATTTAACATCCCAGACAGCACACGACGTCCAATGGACGTCCAATTTTGGTTTTTATTTAGTCCCAACGTCCATGGATCTAATATGGACGTTTTAATTACGTACATTAGTGGATGTACAAAATACGTTGACTTTTGTGTGTTTTAAAGACGTCCATTTTATGTATTTCTAAGGAACATATGTTGAGCTCGCATGTGCCTTCATTTATTAATAGTATAAGCCGGTTTCACCAACACGAATAAATTTAAACAATCGATTAAATTTATCTTCTCTATTAGAACAATTGTATCTGTCAAACGATGATGTGATAGGTTAGTTTCATCGAAAAAGTTATCATTACGAGTTTTTGAAAATTGTAAACAAACTAATCCCTCAATTTGCATTATTAATAAGAAACCCAACTAGCAAAACAATAAAAATATTTAAACATTTAAAAACATTTTAAAAACATTTAAAGAATATTTTTTAAAACGTTAAAAATAATGGAATAAGTTTCCATTTTTTATAAAAAAAAAACATTTTTTTAACGTTTGAAAAATTGTTTCATTTTTTATATTTAATATTTTAATTTTATATTTAATATTTTAATATTTACTAGAAGTTTGATATTCATTAAATATAAAAAAAAATAATAATTTTCCAATCCGTTAAGGAAAACATTTTTTAATGGAAAAAGGGAATTTACCAAGATAATATAATATCTAAAAACGGGACATAAGATATTTTAAAGATCATCTTTAAGATATCTTTCAGACGATTTACGTATAAATGTCTTTAAGGCGTCTTAAACCCAAACAGCACATGTATATCCAAAGGATGTACTTTGGACGTACTTAGGACGTAAGGACGTTTTTATAATGATTTTGGGACGTCTTTTGGATGTCTGTGCTGTCTGGGAAGATTATCTTTAAGACATTGTGTTGTCTTAAAGTACCCAGACAGCACACAATATTTATGATAAAGATTCATAAATATTTAGGTCGAATTATTTTTTAAAAATATTACATAAATATTTTATAAATATTTCTATATATAAAGAAAAAAGTATCAAAATCATTACTCAAAATATTAAAATATAGGTTAAATATTGTATACAATATTTATAGTAAACAAAAAATAAATAGTTGTAGTACTATTTTGTAAATATTTTTATAAATAGTATACATAAAAAAATAAGTGTAATTATTTATAATTATTAAATTAATGGAAAAATAATAAAATCGAAATTTAAATTGGTAACACTCTCTAAAAAATTCTTTAAATCAAAGAAATATATTTTTTTAAATATAATTTCTTAACTTAAAAAATATTTGTTAGATTTTAGAAAATATGTAATAAATATAAAGTAATATTTTTTTTTAATTTGTGAAATAAGCTGTAAAATTATAAATTTCTTGAAAAAAAACTTCCTTATAAAAAGAAAACTAGTTTTTTTAATGTAAAAACTATATTTAAATAAATTTTCTTGTTTTAAAAATAAATTAAGTACAAGTAAATCATTTTATAAAACTAAATAAATTATTTTAAAATTATACAATATTAAAATTATATTAAAAGTATCTTTTTTGTGTTTCAAATTAGTTTTTTTTATTATCAGAAAACAATTTATTTAAATTTACAAAATGATTTATTTGTATTTTATTTACTTTTGAACCAAGTAAATATTTTTTCAAATAAATCTAAAAAATATTCAAGTAAATCTTATAAATATTTTGTAAATATATACAATATAAATATATATTTTATAAATATTTTGTGCTGTCTGAGTATCTCATTATTTTTAACGTTTTTAAAAATGCTTTTTCAAATGTCTTTTAAATATTCTTTTAGTGGTTAGGAACATTCAATATTCAAAATTACAAATATTCTATTTTCGTTTTAAGAACGTCCAGTTTTAGTCCGATGGGTCCTTAATTCGGGTGTCTTTTGAACATCTATAAAAGTAACAACGGATGTTTTTAAAATGTCCTAAAAACATTTGTGGATCTGATGGACGTTTTAAATACGTACACAACGTCTAGTACGTTTTTAAAACGTCTTTGTGCTGTTTGGGATTGCAAATGTAATATTCTGGAGACAGTGCTAATATCATTTTTGCTGTGTGGGGATAACGAGTTACTTTTATAAAGTAACGTTACTAACCCTGTATTTACCACACATACATTTTAATACAGGAAGTAGAAAATAGGATCTGTAGCGACCAACTGTCAGTCAATTAATATGTGTTCTATTTAGATATACGGAAAATATATCCTTAAGGCTTATCCAGACAAATATTCATAATCGCATAATGCATATGCACAAGAAAATCAATCATAATTTACTGTGATATAAAAGGATATCTTTTATATGATTGATTACACATGATTGATTAATTTCCTTATGCGCGCGTATGCATTATCTCAGCAGGAAATGACTTGTCGATTGATATCGATTTGACGGTTTCGATATCAAATCGACATCATTTCTATATCGATCGACGAGTGATTTCTTGCTAGGAACTATGTAAGTTTCTTTGAATGACATAAATAAAAGACATCTTAAAGACATCTTTAAACGATATCCTACTTGTTTTAGACGTCTTTAGGATGATTTTAAAATGTAATTTTAGATATTTGTGCTGTTTGAATCTTTATTCGTAAGAGGAAATGATCGCGGTAGGTAGCTCACATTAAATACCGTTCCGATGAAAATATCTCATGGGGAATTTTCATGCGATTACATATCGCATCGTTATTATATAAATAAAATACATACATATTTTATGTGTAACGCGTCAAAACGTGTGCGAGGCTATTATATTCACTGTTCTCCAGAATATAGATTTTATTTCACAGATCGCTCCGCTATCCATCATCGTAGCGTACAGACTTAACACTCGCTTTGCGCGATAAACAATAATAGATAGATTTTTCTTCGCAATTTGCTTATTGTGGCAATGCTTCGAATTATAAGATTCCAATAGGTGCCAACGAGTTGCACGATCGGAAGAATATTAGTTGATTTCTCTGTAATATTAGTTTATACAAGGTGTGGAAAAAAGGTCAGTACTCCTAAATAACTCAGAAAATATGTTTTATAGAAAAATGTTTTAGACAAAAGTTGTAAGGTTTAAAAAGATGCATTCAATAGTAATATTTATTTAACCTTAGGTGTCGTCGCCAAGGTCAGGTCAACATTGTTTCTTTAAATAGAAACATATATTTTTTATTACATAATTTGATGAAACCTCCTGTTTAGGGGATCCCCCTCAGATGACCTTGATCTTGATATATATGTTATAGAGATCCTGAGTGATTTTCAGAAGGTTTCAGCCGTCGTTCATTGTCTGTTAAAAAGTTATTGATGAAAGAAGTTAGAAAAATATATAACAATTTCTCGATACTGTGTACCGTTAACACACACACACACACACACACACACACACACACACACACACACACACACACACACACACACACATACTACTCGCCAGCAAGCGCGCTCGCCCGCCCGACAGGGCGGGCTCGCGATGTGTGCGAGTGTGTTCCTATTATATTTTAAGTTTTATAAATATACACTTTTTCTTACACTTTTGTGAGAAATTCTCACTCTTTAGCTTAAGTACAACAGACTTGCGTCCCCTATCCCCCCCGCCGCGATGCGGGGGATCTGGAGGGCGTAGCCCCCCAGTTATACGGCTAGGGACAGGCACCTTTTTTATTTTTTACCATATTTCAATAATATAAACATGACTATATGGCGGTCGCTTATAATGTGTATTTCCGAGATATTAATAAAAAAGATGCCTGTCTCTAGCCGTGTAACTGAGGGGCTACACTCCCCAGATCCCCCGCACCGCGGCGGGACCAAGTCTGTTGTACTTCAGCTAAAGAGTGAAAATTTCTCACAAAAGTGAAAGGAAAAGTGTGTATTTTATAGAACTGTCTTGAAAAATTACGTTACATTCATATAAATTTTTTTGTTAATAACTTTTTAACAAACAACGAGCGATGGCTAAAACTTTCAGAAGGTCACTCAGGAGGGTGATCTCTATAACATATGTCAAGGTCAAGGTCATCTGAGGGGGGTCCTCTAACAGGAGTTTTACCACGTAGAATAAAATTCCATAATGAAAAATACGTTTCTATTTAAAAAAGCAAAGTTGACTTCGACCTAACCTTGGCGGCGTCACCCAAGGTCAAATAAATATTACTATTGAATAGATCTTTTAAACCTTACAACTTTTATCTGAAACATTTTTCTATAAAACTTATATTTTCCGACTTATTTAGGGATATCGTTATTTTTTTCCCATCCTATATAATAGACTTAATTATATACATAACTAGATCATTCCACAAGAGTCTACAAAGATTTGAGTCAAGAAAAGGTGTCCTGTTTGTGTAGACATTCGATCTTTTTCTAGATCGACTCCTATTGGGCATTTGGTCTATCTTTCTCCAATAGGAGTCAAGTTAGACGGAATATTTATGGATAGTGGAAGGGTAATATAGTTGTCCTTCAAATCTTTTCTTAAAATCTCCCATAAGAAAGTGCAGTCTATGTATGTAAGTCTATGACTTATTCATGGCGAAGACAGTCAAGTAATATTCACGACGCACCGTGAGTCATGAGAATTGCGGTGAGATTATTTAACGCGCGTGTGGCCCGGTAGTTGCGGAGCTAAGAGCCGAGCTAATCATCAAAGGACGAAATAGATCTATATAAAAAGTGATTATCGCCTAAATATATTTTATCACGCATATAGAATCCGCGCGACTGTGTAACTTCAGATATATACGTACGATAATTGTATAGGATGACTCATTACGAAACGGGTAAATCGGAGGCATCGTAGCGGAAATCAAAAGCAACGTTGCTTTGTCCTTACGGTGCAATGAGCACATGTATCATTGATGACAGATATCCTAATTGTTATTATTATTGAAAAATTATCTATAATTTAAGACAAAGAAAATTTATTTTCTTTTCTGCGATCTTTTTTATACTTCTTCCTTATTGTTTTGCGCTAATTAGAAATAGAACCGGCGTCTTGCAAGTTTTAAATTGGGGAGATCGCTGATTACATATTCACTAAACAAAATTATTCATTTCGAGCTGTGCTACAATCTTCTCGGTGTTTATTGTCGCTAATGCGATGCGTTGTTATCGTTGCATCTTGTTATATCTCGCCTGTACGCGTAGAGAACAAGAAACAAATGTTATTATTACCCGTCCTTTCCTTCCGCCCATATATTTTTTCGTTAGAAAAAGGAAAGTAATGTCTCTCCGTTTATTTAAAAAAAATCGTGCTGAAGACGATTTTGTTTCCTTTTTTTTCTTTGCATCTGTCCAACCTTACATTCAAAGAATTAATATTATTGCGTGATTTACATTTTATTACATCGTGGGATCCTCCTGAAAGAACTGCGATATTCATACGTGTACGAATGGTTTTCATGCGAATACATCCAAAAATTCTTTCGTTAAGTACCAAATCGCCCCTCTCTATCCCCCCCCTCTCTCTCTCTCTTTCTCTTTCTCATTCTCACTCATTTTCTCTCACGCGTTATTCCATTTGCTCTTTTGAAGATTTTAAAATCGGTTTCAATGACGATTTCCGTATAATCTTAGGAAAATATGAGATTTATTTTTAAGGCCGCCACAATAAATTTGTAGGCAATTCGCAGAAATACACAAATAATATCAATTATTTATTAAAAGGCTGCGACACTAGCTTCGGTTACTTCATTTTCGTTCCTCATATCGCTAAGGTCGCTAACGACACAACGCGCCGGCTATTGTGTATTTAAATAATTTCTTATAAAATTAAAATACAGCCAAGTCGCGACATTGTCCGCCTGTCTTTATTTTCGTCCTTTTCTAAAAATCGATAACATCGCAAACATTGCCGAATGGCAAGCGAATGCATTTTTAAGGGTTCAGCCGCGTTTTAATTAAACCTCGAATTCGGCATTTCATCGACGATGATACCGATATTTTGTCGCACAATCTTCCAGAAGACAATCCTGCTTTATTTGTTTGCGTTACGTGCGATACGAGTGTTCGAAATTAGAGAAATATACATGCTTACCAATGAAAGTTTTTTGGCAGTCAGTTGTCAGACGAGATCTGTATTAATGAGTATTTGTCGTTCAGGCTTGATTTCTTCGGCGTCGCTTAACGATAACTACAATTTACTAAGTAGCTTCGTTTCTAAATTTTCTGAAATAAAATTTCACTCGAAAAGTAGAATGACCACTAAGTCATTAGAATTCAAATGATTTCTGATACAAAGTGAATTCCCCACTCCGAATTATTTTGAATAATTTCATTGAAAATTAAATAATGAGTCCGATGTACATTCACAGTCAAATAAATCCTTCACTATTTTTTATATACGCTTCAAAACGCGTCCGTTTTGTTAAATGAGAAAATTTTTTTCAGATCTTCCTATTGGACAAGACGATACGTTCTAATATTCACATAAAAAATAGCGGTTATATTTGACCTGTCTGGCCGTAAATGTACTCCACTGTCACAGGAACATATGTCCCTTCCAATTGATTGAAGCATTCGCTCATGTGCAGTCGAAATCTCTGAGTCTGAGTAAAAAATTCACTCTTGCGATTTCGTGTGGCAATATTTTCACTATTGCTTCGAAAAATACTTCACTTTTCACTCATTTTACATGAAATTTCACTCAAAGAAACTTAAAGAATACACAATTGTCATGAATATAGTACAAATATTAAATAAAAAAGGCATAAGAAGTCGGAATTTATAAAAATAAAATGAATGAGAATTAAATATCGTTGAAATCGTTTTTTCCAACACAAGAAATACGGTGACTAGAAATTAGTGTTAATCGTCGTCAAAGATATCGATCCTCATACGTCTTTTGAGTCTGAACGCATGTTCGTCGTCCGTATGTACGCGTGTGTGCGTGCGTGCGTGCGTGCGCTTGTGTCCGTGTCCACGTGTCTCAATATATCGAAAAAATCGTATGCACGCGTCTCTCGCAGTGACGACAGCGAGACTCGCGTGTCTTTATAATTAAACGTTACACCTACATGTATTACTGAATCTCGAGCGATCGTCACGATTATCGAGAAGACACCCGTTTATATATGTTTGGCTCGCGTTTCTTTTGGTCTGCTGGATTTTTAATATTGCTGGACAATAAGTGACTCTCAATCAGTACAAATAGTACGAGCGTAGTAGACGCATCCAATTTCTACTAAAATCTGTAATATTACAGATATAGCAATAACTTGTAATATTAGCTGTAATACGATATAGTAGAATAGCAATCGTAATAGTATAATAGTATAATATTAATTGCAGTAATAATAAAAGTTGTAGTAGTAATAGTAATAGTAGCAGCAGTAGTAATAGTAGTAGTAATAGTAGTAATAACAGTAGTAGTAGTAATAGTAATAATTATAACGATAGTAATAGCATAGCGACGTTGCACCTAATAATAGTATGCGGACTACACGCAGAGATTTCAAATTAGTCGACGCTCAACATATTGTAGACACAATTCATCGGCGTGTCTCAAAAAGCACAATGTATAGCAATGTTATTACTTTCAGTAATATCAAGGTAGATAGTGCCCTCCGCGGCGCGTCGTCGCACGTAGACCGACCTACTTATTTCTTACTCTGACAACGTTATCAGCGTTTCGCCGTCCAAACCGATTTCTCTCTCCCTTTCTTTCTTTCTTTTTTCCTACTTTCCTATATTCTTTACATTTATAAAGAACGAATTGTCCGCAACACTTTACGTTCCGGCACATCATCGCGCTGATGACGACAATTTTTTTTCACTTCGACATATAGTCGTAAATGTGTGTACCGGCAGGAAGAGATAAACTCTTTGTTCTCTTAACAGTTTTTCGTATATTGGCATTTATCCGATCCAAGTACAGGATATTTTACGTAAAAATAAACCGTTAACTTACTTGTAAGTACATTACAATGAAAGCTCCATAATCAACTGGCTATCGCAATATTCGTTCGCACTGCGTGTCTTCGATATTCCCCAACACTTATTACGATGAGTGAAAAAGTCACATTGCGCGAGACATCCTATAATTACCCTTCCCCTCTCCTTCTCCTCTTCCTCCTTCTCCTCTCTCTCTCTCTACCTCTCTTGACACGAATTGTTTTATTTCGCATTCGACAAATTTGCTCATTCTACTCAATCTCCGGTTACACAAGCGACGCAGACGCCACTCTATCGTACATCTCATGGCGACCTTCGGCGAGTTAAATACGCGACACAACGAGTCAAGGATCGATACCGACAGAACGCGGATCACGAATTAGCGGCGTGCACGAACGACATTTCTGTTGACCGTGCTACGTGGTAAGGTATAATGTCTTACGTTAATACGTTTGATCATCATCGACTAAGCTAAGCATTATTCTCTGCTTGGCCGAAGCTTCGCTGGCGGCACCCTACCTATCTAATTACCTATCTACTTAACTACCTACCTATCTATTTTTCTATCTACTCAGTATAAGAAAGAAAAAAGAAATGGAGAAAAGTGTATGTACGTTGTTGCACATGGTCGAGCGATTGCGAATCTACTTTTTCCGCAAGAAAGTGCTTTCAAGAACTATCACACGTGAGAGAAGATGGAGAATAGTCGCGAACGCGAGTCCACCGTGGGTTCACCTTTTTTTTCTTACGCCGCGCCCTCCAACATTCTCGAATTATCGGCTCACTCTTTCTCTTGTCGGGAAAATCCTTACGCGTCAAGTATGCTTGTTTGTTACGACTAATTCGTTTGATCTTACTCGTTCGTAACGATCGAGCGACGATCGCAACTTCCCGTCGGAAATTCCGACTTTGCTACTCCTGGCTTAGTCGCGCGTTGTCGCTTTTCGCGTTCATTGGGGAGATCCGGTCGACGTGAGCTCTCACGATTATCGGCGTCCTCGTCACCGTGTCTTCTCAAGACGGCATCTTCAGTTTTCACTGGAAAAGCTGGAACCCACCGTAGATCCGATTCACGCAACCCAAGCATCGTTGTCGCCTATCGCGAGGCTTCGTTGTCGCTCACACCGGCGATGAGATCTCTCGATGATCGTTGTGTGCCACTCTACGAGATGCCTTTATAGTGAACGAAGAAGAAAGTGAGGAACACGAAATAGGCGACTGGAAAAGTAATCCTGGCTATCACGTCGATCGTCTTCGCCACTCTAATTGGATGCGGTGGCTCTTTTTTTCTCAACTGAAAGAAAAAAATGTTTTCAAACAAAATACTTCAATTCAAATTATTAAATTAGTTAAACTTTCGTTAAATTAAATGAAAAAGAGAGAGAAAGTTTTAGCTAAATAGCATATAAATATTGAACTTATTTCTAGTATTTATCTGTTTTTTAGAGAATCCCGGTTTATTCTTTATTTAAAACTTTGACATACTGAATATGTAATATTTCATGTTGCAATATTTCAGAATTATAATTTAGAAATAATTATGTATTTCGCTTGATCTGGCTTCCGAGTTAATCTCACGTCTTTCATGAACTTATTTTCGATGTTTCATGAACGTTCTAGTTCACGTTTACCCGAGTAGAAATTGTCATCAGGTATACCTGATAATATATAAGGTCCTAACTAGGGATTTGCAAGGTTATCCTCACTATGGTAAACTTAGTCATGTATTGATAAAAATCGAGTAAGAAAAACCTTTGCAAGATTATAATGATTAGGTATATTAGGACCTTAATGTATTATCCTAATATATTATTTCATAAAGTTTTATTGATCAGGCCCTTTTTAGGATCTTATTTATTTTACTTATTATGACTTACATTATCAGTTTTTAATATATTTTGTAACAACCTTATATATAGTAGGTTTAATTAAATTTTTATAATTTTTTCCATGAAAATATTTATTTTTATAAATTTCAAGTTATAAAAAAGTGTTGAAATATAAATTTTCATATATTTTATATAAAATTTTTAAATGCTCATAAAAAAATGAATACAATAATAAAAGTGTAACAGTACAATATTTTGCAATATTGCAACAATATTTGAGAAGCATTTAAAATTGTATTATAGATAACATTAATGAAATTTTTTATTATATAATAATAATTATAAAATAAATTATTATTAAATTTTATTATATTATTACATATGTATTATTCATATTATGTTACAATATACCATAATCATATATTTTCTTATTATTTATATGTAAAATTAAAATGCGTTTAAGCAGTTTTGCGCAACCCTGAAAAAAGAATATTTTTTTATTTCATAATATTCTCTATTATATAGAGTTTGACGCAAGCTGTATTGATAACAAAAAATGCATAAAAAACATTAAGCTAAAAGGAATGGCCGAAGTCATTTTGCAAATAATCACATAAACTTTAGAGATATTAAATAAAATAGATAGGCGAATCAACGGGCGTATTTACTAGGTACGTTATAATATATTGCGAACACTATAAGTACACATTATGTAAGCATCAATTGTAAGAACAGCGTTGGAGTCATTGGAATCACCGATCGAGCGGCACGCTTGATCGTCAGGTTAAGCAATACCTTAACGCAGTCAGGCATGGATGGATGACCGGTATACCGCTTTGGATTCAAAATTACCTAGAGAGGGTTCGCGAAAGTTTTAGAGTGTGTTTGACAATTTTTCGGTTCTAGCAGTTATAAGACATGAGAAAATTAGGAATTAGTTTTTTTATAATTAATTTTTTTTTATAAAAGCTACGCGGAAAACTTTTAAGCGTACATTTTTACATTATATCAAAGTTTGTACAACGTTGATTCAATGTTTCTCAATGTTACTGCAATATTGACATTGTTGCAATTCAACATTTTTTCAACATTGATTCAATATTATTGTGCTGTATAGGAAAACGTGATAGGGATTCAATAGTATAACCTGATGAGAACATTATAATGAATCTGTTTAAGGTCCTGATAACGATGCAGTGTTACATGACTTCTCAAGACCCGACATCCAGTTAAGGTCATGGATTTATATTTCTAGTCAGATATTTCTTCAAGAGTCTTCTTTAGTAGAAGTATAACCGAGACTAAAGAAGTTTCCTAAAGAAGTAAACTGATGTTCACGTAGAATATCGAAAACAAATTTATGAAAGACGTGGCGCCTATTCGAAAGTCAGATCTAGTATTTACCGCGAGTCTAAAATATCAAACTGTGTATTTTTATAAGTATACATATGGATTAGCTGTATTTCCTTATGTACCATGGTATTTTTTTAATTTTGCTGATAATACAACTGTAATATATTATCTATCAATTATTAAGTAACTTATAAATTTTATTTTAAAAATATTCTGTTAAAATTTGATTTGCCATATAACTATTATTTTCCCGAAATTTGATTTAGAAATTATCTCTTTCTCTCTCTCTCTCTCTCTCTCTCTCCCTATCTATCTATCTATCTATCTATCTATATCTCTCTCTCTTTCTCTCTCCCTCTCTGCAGTTATCAATATTTTAGAAAAAATCACTATGTTTACAACTATTTATTTATATATACCTATATAACTATTTATTTATATATACCTATATAACTATTTATTTATATATACCTATATAATTACAGTATTACATATTTCATGCGGGATTTCGTTACATGTACTGAAAGAAAATAATTTTACGAAAATAATCTATTATTAGAAATTAGCTAAGATAAATGACTAGCAAACCTGCGATATCGTATATGTTTTGTATTTGATCAATATACATAAATGACAGAGACAGAATTTCTATCTTAACCATTTGCAAAATTTCGATTCTTAGCAAGATTTCGTCTCTTTGTGGCATCCATCCAAATTAAAGCCAGTTCCACTTTTTATAAAAATTAATTATGTTGGCCAAAAAAGACTAGCGATGAGAAACAAATAAATGTATTATCCTTACATTCATCTAAATTTGCTTACAAATTTTGTTAAAATATTGTTATTATAAGGTTTTGTACACCACAGATAATTTCTAACAAATATAAAAATAGTGTTAAATTTTAACTACATTTAGAATTCAATCTAAGCTGGTAAAACATTTTTTTTAATGTAATTTCATAAATTTTTTTTTATTAAGTTTATAATTCAGATTAATCAAATATGCATGCATACGCATTTTAAGTTAATCGAGTGTGAAAAACATTGGGTTTTAAGTAAAAAAATCTAGTTATTGATATCCCTTTAGTCATTGAATTCTATAAAAAAGAACTGATTTTTCTTATATAGGATGTCCCGCATAAGACGTACCAAAAGAAAAATATAAGTAGAAGAGATAAAACTGAAAAAATTTTATAGAGGTCATTTTTCTAACAATCACGTAAAATTTTATAGAGGTCATTTTTCTAACAATCACGTAAAATTTTGAGTTATTAAATAAAATAGATGGGCTAATCAGAGCACGCGACGCGGCAGGCGGGACATACGACTCGTATGGTAAAATAGACGATTGCTCGCGGACTTATCACGTAATGTCAGATCTAAGACGTAGTCTCTACCTCTGGGCCTATGAGATAGGCCCGCGAGCAATCGTCCATTTTCTTTGCCGGCCGCGGCGAGCCATATGTTCCGCCTGCCGCGTCGCATGCTTTGATTACCCATCTATTTTATTTAATAACTCGAAATTTTACGTGGTTGTTAGAAAAGTGACCTCTACAAAATTTTTTCAGTTTTATTTGTTTTACATATATTTTTCTTTTGGTACGTCTTATGCAGAATACCTTGTATATACATACGAATAGTTAAACATTGCAGTTAAACTTCTTACTATAATTCGCGACCCCCTCCCAGGGGGACGCGGGTATGTGTAATGTATTTTCCCTGCCTTATCAAAAAAAAGGAGGAAGGGGTGAGAGAGAGAGAGAGGCGACATTAACTTTATTTAATTTGCTATCTCTGAATCATATATGAATCTTATATTTCTTCATATATAAACAAAAAATTTATATATATATAATATTTATTTATATATATAATATATAATATATAATATATAATATATAATATTTATTTATATATATAATTATATATAATCATATATATTTTATATATATGATTATTTTATTTATATATTTATATATGATTATATTATTTATATATTTTTATAAGATATATATGAACTTTTTCTCAGGTTTACATATTATTATACATAAAATAGTCATTTTCAATATATCGAATTTCAAAGTCGCTCTTCTATAAATCCAGGGCTATGTTATGAACAATCGTACAAAAATCAAGTTTTTGCAGAAAGCCAATGAGAGAGTTTTCAATAATTGAATATTCTATTTTACTCGTATCTTAAACGTTTTTTTATATTTCTCATAAGAATGAACATATTATTTCATTTAATTGATTCCCAGTAAACCAGTATCCCATATGTAATATTACATCAATATTATAACTATTCACTCAACAATGTAAATGTTATGTACAATTTGTCCAGTAAGCAAGAAATAATTATAGCAATGTTATTTAGTAACATGTTAACAAATATGTTACTTTTAACATTGTACAGAATATTATTATGAACAAACTTTGACTTTCTTGATCTAGAAATTTCGATAATATTAAGATTATATATGATAATGTTGAGATTATATATGTTAAGATTATAATGTCGTAAGCAATATTGAATTACGTTTTCTGACATAGTAATATCCACTCTTTCTGTACGTATTAACAACTTCTCATATAAGAAACTTAAAACTTAATAAATTTTCCCATTGCAATAGTTCACATAAACTATTATTTGATTTTGTTTAAAAAGTAAAAAAATTGGCATTTTATTTTTTGTGTCATGGTATCTTTTATACTTCATACATGTATTCTACCGTGATTTTGATCCAGTAGGATTCAATATTCTCTTTTTACATCGCGCTATCGGATGCTTTATCTCAATAATCAAACAGGAACTGATAGTGCCAATAAACTCTGATATCTTGGTAAATCATATTTATAATATACTATTATATCAAAAAATATTAATATATACAAGGTGTCTCACACTCTCCTCCCGGCATTTTGTGGGAACGCAGAACAGATTGCGGTGAACATAAAAGTCCTGTACCGTTTTGTGATATTCGCAATAATTATCGAGATACTAATTGTAGAAAATTTGTGAATAATCATGCAGAATATGGTAAATAAGTTATAGCAGCGACGACTGCCGTCGTGTACTTATACTTTAGGTCAAATTGAACAAAAAAGTCCTCTACCATTTTCCAAATAATCATATAGATTTTTAATTATTAATTAAAGAAGATTATTGCACGATTTTGCGTGATCATCTTCTTTAATTAATAATTAAAAATTTATGTGATTATTTGTAAAATGGTAGAGGATTTTTTGTTCAATTTAACCTAAAGTATAAGTACACGACGATAGTTGTCGCTATTATAACTCATTTACCATATCCTGCATGATCATTCACAAATTTTCTACAATTAATAAAATCTCGATAATTATTGCTAATATCGCAAAACGGACTTTTACGCTCACCGCAATCTGTTTTACGTTCCCACAAAATGCCCGGAGAAGAGTATGAGACACCCTGTGTGTGTGTATGTATGTATGTATATATATATATATATATATATATATATATATATATATATATATTCAAAAGAATGGAATAAAAATGCGCAATTGATTAGCTCAATTTATAATAAATTTATAATAAATGTTAAAAAATTCCTCCACTTGCTTCATACATAATATGTATGTATGGAAAAATGTTTAATATAAAAGTTATAGGTTTTTGAGGGGGACATAAAAGACTACTATTTGTCTGACCTTGGATGAAGGCGTTAAGATCACGCCAAAGTCAACTTGAATTTTTTAAATAAAATATCCTACTCTTTATTGCATATTCTCGTACTTTATCTTCAGAGCTTTCCAAAACACTATAATAACTTATTTTTTCATTAAGTACTTTTTGAATAATGAAACTTGCAAGTTACAGTACTGCCGACATTATAAATTGAGCTAATCAATTGCGCAATTTTTGTGCCGTTCTTTTGTTCATTGTTTTTTGAAGATTAAAATATATATGTGTAATTAAAATCAATTTAATTTTTCCACTTATATGTTTGTTTTTTATTAAAATCATAAAATTCCTATTTTGTACCTTACAGTATTAAAACGAAGCGTCGTAGAGAAAAACATTATTAACAAAATATGTTTGTCTTTATGTCCTCTATTTTCCTTCAAAGTTTGTCAGTCTAATTTTTTACACCCTGTATATATATACAGTGTGTCCCATAAGTTCGGCAACGGCAAGAAAACTCGGCGGGGGAGCATTTTAGAGAAAAATGTTTCGAATAAAAGTTGTAAGGCTTAAAAAGTCGCATTTAATGACAGTAGTTATTTGACCTAAGATGACATCGTCAAGGTCAGGACAAGGTCAACTTTGGTTTTTTAAATAGAAATACATATTTTTTATTACGGGATTTTATTCTACGTGAAAAAGCAAACAACTTTTGTTTGAAAAAATTTTTTATACGACCTCTATTTTCTAAGATATTTACGTAAATATCTACAAAATTATTGGTTTCAATAATTTTTTACTTGAATTCTATCAACTTTACCGAA